AATACATCTTAAAGCTCTGCCAAGATATCTAGGTTACTGGATCTGAGATAAACTGCCTGGTAGGTATTGTTCCCTGTGGACTTTAGGCCCATTAGCAGAACAAATGATCTTCAATTAACGTGCTCAGAAGTCTTGATTTGGGCAGGGGGGAGTGGAGGGGACAGGGAGATGAGAGGAAGAAAGAAAACAAAGAAGCTAATTTTAATGCTTCTTTTTTCTCTAAGGGCTTGTTTGTCTGTGCAGGTAGAGTGTATTTAGCATAGCTGGAACTGACCTTTTGTTCAGGCTCTTCTTTATACTTGGATAAACTGACAAATGGCTCTGTGATCCTTAGATGAAATATGCACTTCTATCCAGTAAAAATATAAAATTTCTACAATTACATAGGTGTACCTATGCTTATAAACAGACCTGCAGGGGCTTTCAGACATGACCTCAGTAACTAAGTACAGAGTAAAACTCAGATGTTACCTTTGTGTTCTAAGTTCTAATACTTAGTCTCTAACTGTCCTGTATCATTTAAATTCTGTTTACAACATTTTATTCATATCACAATTATTTACAAATTGGTAAGTATGAAGAGTATTTTCCTTTTGTGTATCTTTATGCCTAACTTATTCTCTGGCAAAATTCTACTTTAACTGAATCCTGTGTTTATTTTTTACACCCAGTCAATGTCTGGTTTGTGCAATTTTGGCACTTTTTGTTCTTACATCTCTAAAAAAATTTACCATTAACTCAATTACCAGCTGATTAAGTCCCTACTCCTAATATTTCATTCTAAACAGTAATAAATAAACAAAATAAATGCTATAATGATCTTCTTGCCTCTCCCATGCTAAACTACTGCCTACAAGGTCTTTTCTAGCAGGGCCATTTGCTTTTAGTATAATCTTGAATGGGCCAGTGAAATTGAGGGAGGCTGACCTAAATATCCAGTGGTTAGTTAATGTACTTGAATCAACTAGGGCAAAAATTTGAACCTTTAAAAGACCAGGCCACACAGGTGTCCTGGCTACTGGGCTAGTTATCCATCCTGAGATCATTTCTGTCCCCTTCTGTATCTTTTTTTCTAGCCTTTACTAGTGTTTTTTTGATTAAAACATGTATATTTCTCATGAAAAACCTTAGTCAGACAACACAGCATTTTCAAACAGAAAAATGTTCCCTTGAAAAACTCCTGTTCAGCTGTGGTTGCCATGGATAAGGATGTAAATCTTTCACATGCATAAAATCATATAGATTATCCAGCTCTCCTTTTACTTTGCCTAGCATGTTTTTCACATCTAAATGGGCATCATAAAAAGACTTAACTCCAGCAATTAAGGACATGCTAAACCTCAATGTGTTATTCACTGGGCTGAATTCTTCAGTTCTGTGATTTCCAATGTCATTATTTCATGAAGTGTCACACTCACCTCCAGACACATTAGCAAGGGAGAGCTGATATTCTACCCTCTCAGCCACCATTCAATATCTTTAGAATCCCTTGCCAAAAAGATTTAAATATGCCCTTACAGAAATAATTTGCTGATACTGTTTTTTTCAAAACTATCAAGTCCTACAGTTCTGTTTGAGCCCCACAACGTCCCTGACTTCAGGAATGGAATAATTTCTATAGTGTTTCTAGGAATTTTCACAAATGACTTGCACACTTCAGGATTTCTTTTTCCACAGTTCAGAAACTTATTGAAAACATGGTAAGAAAAACCACAATCAAAACAACCCCACAAGGTTGGTAGACCTGAACATGGATGCTTAATTTATTATATGAAGTATTGAAAACCTTGGCACTTATAATTGTCTTGATAAAAAGACTGTGAACCAGCAAGGAAGCTGCATGTGACATGCTACTTACACTGTGATACTGTTTTTCATCTAATTTGCACACAGACTCAAGCCTTGCAGTTTTTACACTTCATTAACAAAATTCATTATACCTAATACACATTACTTCAATCTGCCTGCTCCTGGGGCTTTAAGATAGATCTGTGTATCTTTGTTAGGTGAAGCCTAATACAAAACTGTAAAATACATCCAGGCAGGGAATGCCTTGCACTTCCCAGTCCTGAGAATTGCTACTTGAGTTATCTCCAAATGCCTAATTCACCTACTGATTGACTCTTTACTCTTTCCTTGACACCTGATTCCTGTCTTTACTGTATTTGTATATTCAAGGATTTCTTCCTGTCCTCGATGAATGCCCTTTCTTGTCCTGATTTTTCACATTGCTTCAACTGCTTTTGAACAAATGTCCTTATTTTGCTAATCCTCTGCACAGAGTGGCTATGAGAATTTTAATTTCCTTTTAAAATCTGCATAGTATTTGATCATAAATTCACAGGAACTATGCAAATCATTCCTTGCAGAGCTGCACTAACTACCAGTAATATCACTGCTATTTTGTATTTTGACGTACAACTTGTTCTCTCGCTGTGCCTGCCATTTGCTGCTTTCTTACCTTCAGTTGTTTTGCAGTTCTGTGCTAATTCTGATGACCTTTTTCCTTGTTCCCACTACTAGCTTTTAAAGCCAGATGGTTTGCATAACCCATGAGAATATACTAATTTATGTTTCAGCACTTTCATTTCTCATCTTGTCCTTTCCACAGAACGCTTTTCCCTCCTTTTTTGTTTCTCCCCTTTTAGTGCTCAAATTTCTCTCAATGTCGTCAAAATTGATTTTTCTGAGGTAAAGGGACCTTTTGGCTTAGTGAAACCACTCTCCTGCAAGACATAAACACTCGTGTAACAGACCTCAAGAGCAGAAATCGTCAAAAAGACCATCCAGTATCAATACATTTTTTTAAAATTTTCTGTTTTCTGAATGAAGTTTTGCTCTTTTTTGCATCTGAGTCACCAACCTTAACCACAAAGGAGGTGATTTTGCATCAGTTCTAGAAGCAATTATATTTTTTTTTTCCCAGCACAGAGGTTCATGCTTTCCCTCAGAGCAAAACTGAGAGGATAAGTGTATTTTGCAGCTGTCTGTAAGTGCCCCTTGTTCTCCCCATGAGCTCCAACCCAGCCCCCCTGCTCCAAGTCTTGGAAGTGTGCAAGGAGGAAGACCTCTGCTCTTCCAGGGTTAGTCTGATATGTGGATTTCTGTTATTTGCTTTTCTGTTCCATGGCATAGCCACTTCATGTACTACAATTTTTACTCTTTTTAAAAATCTCGAGTGTGTCTCAGTCTGGTTAAAGCCAGCGATGAAGCATGTAGAGCTGTTTACCTGAAGTATGAAGAAGGCTGTGGGAACCTGAAACTTCAGGGAGGAATAAAGTAGATGTTTAGGTGACAGAGGGGGCTGCGACCAGCATCACTTTTTGTGGCATGGAGCTGGCTGCCCTGGCCAAAAGCATATTCCCCCTGTATGGAGACATGGCACCTGTGCTGTGTCACCTTGGTGGCTTTGACTGCTGCATTAAAGGCTGAGTGTTGCTACAGTGAATTTGTGAGAAAAGGAGAGCCTGTGAACCAGGAGGGACTCCATGAGCTTGAAACTCCTGATCCCTCCTGGCAGCCTGAACTGATGCTCCCACTTGCATGGAGTGATTTGGGAACAGGACGGGGAGGATGAACATGTCACGTATGTGGATGTCTCCCAGGCAAACTCACAGAGGTGTCTACCTGAAGGCTCATTAAATCCTTTGGAATAGCCAGTAATTTTTGTGGAGGAAGCACTGGTACACAAACAGCTGCTGAGTAGACCACAGGGTGGATCCACTCAGCTGACACATGTTTCAGGACAAAACTTTGATAGGATGAAGTGGTTTCACAGTATCCCAGAATTTCTGGAGTTGGAAGGGACATCTGGAGATTACCTTGTCCAACCTCCCCGCCAACAGCAGGGTCACCCGGAGCAGGTAACGCAGGAACATGTCCTGGGGGGTTTGGGATGTCTCCAGAGAGGGAGACTCCATGACCTCCGTGGGCAGCCTATTCCACTGCTCCGACACCCTCAACATAAAGAAGTTCTCCATCTTGTTAAGGTAAAACTTCTTGCGTTTCAGTTTATGGCCATTGCCCCTGTACGGCTCCATTGTTTCCCCGTACAGGTGTGTGAAACAAGCACATTAACTCCCCTCCCATGCCCAGCCATCTTTACGGGGGCTGCCGGCGGAGGCGGCGAGGATCCCGGCCTCCGCCAGGGCCGGTGCGGGTCACGGGGCCGGGGCAGCCCCAGCCTTGCCGCCCTTGCCCGTGGGAGCCGCTTCGCTTCCCCGGGTCCCGGCGGGGCGGAGCGGGCGGCGGAGAGCGCTCCCCCCTCACGGCTGCCGGGCGGGCCGGGGCGGGGCCGGGGGCGGGCGGCGCCGGTCGCTGTCCTGGGTGTTGAATCTGCTGCGGCTGCCGGAGCCGGGGAGCGGCCGCGGGAGGCACAGGGCGGGCGGGCGGCATGGAGTGAGGGCTGGCGACGGCGGGCAGGGGAGCGGGGCGTGCGATGGGCCAGGCATGATGGGCGCGCTCGGCTCCGTCCTCCCGCTGCTGCTGCTGCTGCTGCCGCCGCCGGCGGTGCTCGCCGCCGCCCCGCGCATCCAGCCGCCCTCCGCGGGGGCCGCCGCCGAGGCGCGGATCGGTGAGTGGGGCGAGGGGCGGGGGGCGCGGGGCTGGCGGGGATCGCTCCCCGCGCTGCTGCCGGAGCTTCCCCGCAGGCAGCTCGGCAGGGCCCCGGCGGCCGCGCCCGCACGGCGGACGCTGAGGAGCCCGGCCGCCCGTCCCTCTCCACCGGCTCCGGATAAGCGGCCCCGTCCGCCGGTGCCTCACCGCCGGCTCTGGATACGGAGCTCCGTCCGCAGGTCCCTCACCGCCGGCTCCGGATAAGCGGCCCCGTCCTTCGGTGCCTCAGCACCGCCTCCCGCTGCCTGTCCCCGTCCCCCGGTCTTTCACAACCCTCTCCCGGTCCCTCTCACCTCTTGCCCCCGCTCCGCCCGCAGCCCTGCCCCAGCGGCGTGTCCCGTCTCTGAGGACACCTCTGCGGGGCCGCTCTCCCCCGCTGTCCCCGCATGCTGAAAACTTCCGCCAGGGCTCACGAGGCCCCTGGAACCGAGGTGCGCCAGTGGCGAGTCCACGAAAATGCTTCCAGCCTCCACAACCCTTCTCCCGGTTTGTTGTATTCAGCCCATTGAACTGCCCTTATTCTTGATGGAGACAGGAAATCTCCGGGCCACAATTCCCCAGGTCCAGCCTGTGGTGGAGTCCCCCCTCCAACTCATGCTGCTGGAGGTGGAAGTCAGCACTGCCTCCGGGTTAAGGCTCTTTCAGAGCTGTCAGAAAAATCCCCAGTGCTGCCCAGTGCAGACCATTGAACAGCTGCTTTCTCTTGAGATACTCTCCACCGACCCCTTCTCCATTTAGAAGGTACTATCTGCACTAAGAATCCCCACCTGTGAAGTGACCCACAATGGCATGAAGGGATCCTGAAAACAAACTCTATGTGTTTCAAATCGATGCAATTCTCTTGTGACACTCTCCCTGGCAGTCCTTTCCTTGCACTGAGACACTCAGCACTGTATGCTCACCTGAATTGTGTATTATTACTCATATCTGTTAATAGAGTCAATCTCATTTCACTTACAGTATCTTCCCAAAGCTCACTTTAAGTCAAGAAGGTCATGAACAGGAGAATTTTGTATTTTTTCCCATTTTAGTATCTACCTAGGGCGGTTATGGAGATCAGAGTGAAAGCTACACAAACTATCCCTAAGAAATCTTTTTCTAAGACAAAAAAATTAAATTCCTTTAAGAAACAAAGGAAGCCTTCCAGAGGGATATTGCTGCTGTTTTACTCATGTACATTCTGTTTATTAAGAAGGAATTAAAATCAGCTGACCGTGTTTTTAATGAATGTCAAGTAGCAATAAAAATGAGCTATTGTGCTTGCTATAGTGAAGGTAGTGATGCAAGGTTTTAAGGAGAAATGGTTTGGACTGGATTTATCCATCCCTCCTCTCTCCTGGTTGCTATAGATATAGTCTGTTTCTCCTAATCTGCTGAATAGAAAGCTTGCATAAAAATATTGCAAGTAATAGCTGTAATTTTTACCTTTAATAATGCAATAGCCTGCACTGTGCTTTCGAAGTAGTCAGATTTTGATTCTCTCTCCCTAAACACAACCTGCAAATCAGTTTGGGTCACAGAGTATTTTTTCAGTTTGTTGTAGCTGAAACACAAAAGCAATGTGTGTGTTTGTTACTTCCCTCCGGCTTCCCTGTGCTCCTGCCTCGGCAAGGATCTCTGCCTGCCAGTTAAGGCTGTCCTTGAGTGGAAAGGACTGGGGGAAGAGCAGCCTTGATTTTACACAGTGAATCCACTGGTCTGGAGGTATAATTTGGAGGCATTTCAAAGGCAGCAAAACAAGCTGAGCCTCCCTACTTCTTGCTGGGATAGGGACCTCACTGTTATCTCATGGATCTCTGTGAAAGATGGGAAGAGATTGATTGTGTTTGACAAGATGCAGAAAAATGTTTGCATTACTTGAAGTGAAACAGTTTTAGCTGTCTCTTCATTAGAATACCTTTATTTCTTTTATTGACCAGTGTTTCAGATCTCATTAATCTTGAGTTCAAAGTATTTATTATTGTAGATTCTGTTCAATTTTGGAGTACAATTTTTAGACACAATCAGGAGACATAACTGTAATTGTACAAGATATCAGAGTTTTGGGGTTATTTGTGGTTATATGTGAAAGATACTAATTTGGTTTCTTCTTGTGGACAGTCTCATCTTCTTTAATTGAAAATTGAAGACAGATGCATTATGAGAGCTCTAGAATGTGTGCTGAAAACTGCCTTAAAAGCAAAGTAATTATAGAAACATATTTTTATTATTTTTGTTTTCCCCCATTATTTCAGGAACTCTTCCTAAAAGTTGTTTCAGAAGCAGAAGTTCATGACCTTTACCATTTCAAGGGATGGATTAATCCAATTTAATACCTACCCACTTTTTGATGGTCAACTTTTGTCTGCACTTTTGTCCAGTATAGTGAGCATCTTTAAGTGTTGACCTTTCTTTTGCAACATAACGTCTTTTACAAACTTGTTAAAGAAATGAGAAGATTTGAAGTTGGAGTTAACAAAGATACAAGATTTTAACTTCTGCTTCTGCCTCTATAATTGATGAAGTTTTGTTGATTGTTCCTGTGGGGAGGTGTTTTGTTAAGGTGCACTTACCAACAGAAGCGCATACTCTTCCATTTCTTGACATTTACCTTTCATCATTCATCATTCTGTGATGATTTATAGTAGCATTTTAAATGGAACAAATAAATATAAGTGCATTTTTTCCCCCTCTCTTTTTCTTGCCTAGGTCTAGGTCAGGAGAGAGATTTTTATCTTTTTCACAAAAAAAATATAAAAATTGACTGGGTGCATAGTAGTATTCATTAGTCCTTAATGAAACAATGGGGTTGGGAGTTCAATATTCTAAAGAAATATTTATTCATTTATAAGACACATTTAGAAGTTAAGATTATGGAACTTCTTTTTAAGTGTTTTACAAAGTAATCATCTGTGGAAAAATACATTCTGATCATGTTTGCTCAGTTCTAAAGGTTTGGGTTATTCCATTCTTATCTTGATGGTCGTAACACTAAGAAGCTCCAATTATAACTGCAGCTCCAATTACTAAAATATTTTCATTGCACAGTTTTTAAAGTAGACTAACTGATTCAGAAAGTTGCAGTGGTACTTTATTTTCATTTTAGGTAGGCAGGGTGAGATAGAGAACTCGATAACAAAGTAAGCTGTGAACATTCTTAATCAAGTTCTTTCATTAGTACTTAAAACACCAGTATTTTATAGCAGAAGTTGTACTCGTATGTTTCAGAAAAGAGTAAATGTGCTTGCTGCAGCGCCATCACATTGACCTCTAATGTGTAAAATGATGCTTATAACCTTCAGTGAATATAATTTTGCAATATAATTTGATCTTTTGTGCTGTGTGCAATCCCATTTTTCAGTATGCATTTTCCTCTTAAATGAGTACATTGATATGCTGTGGAGATTTCCAGAAACATTTGTTCCACACTCAACATAAATTTGTTCCATACACTGTGTAAAAGCTCCTTCAGAGTTGTATTGAAGTAATCACAGGCAGAATATTTGTCTGTCAAATGAGTGTGAATTTAGTTTTTAACTTGCTAACAAAAAGACAAGTCAATTTCAGCTTATAAATATGAAATTTACTGCTAAACCTTTAGCTGTGAGTTCCTGACACATACAGTGTTTTACATTTCTCTAGGATTTAAATGTAATTGAGGATAGAAATTTTATTCAAAGACTTAAAAAATGTTGCATGTTAAGTTTAGTACTTTCACAAAGTACTGTGTGCATATTTAACCACTGAAAAAATATTTGAGAGGTGGGTTAGGAGTTCCAAGCAGCTAAAGTTGATCAGAATTAAGAAACTGCAAGAGCAGGGACTTCAGTTGCTATTGGTGAAAGGCATCTCTCCAGTGTTGATTCTTAAATTGCAAGAGAGTTAAATAAAGAGTAGGACAGGTGAAAAAATTATTTATTTAGATATTTTGCATTTCATTCAGTGTTTTGAACAATTGCCAAAGGAGGCAGTGACAGAGAACATTTCTCCATGGATGTTTCATGGGGAATAGTGAAGAAGTGTGTCTTGGTTTAGTTCTTACTGGATGGATGTTACCTTAAAACTCCCATAGCTGTTGTTCTCAGCCATCATTGTTAACTGCTTTGAAGATCCATGAGGACAGAAGTTTTGCTTCTTGCAGCAATCGAGCTGAAGCTCACTGAAGTCAATGTCAACCTTCCCATTGACTTTAGTAGCATTTGGATCAAAGTTCTGGTTTGAGGCTTGTAGCAGACTGGCTGAGAAAGTAGGAGAATTAGAGTGTTACCATCTGTTCAGTACAAAAAAAATTGCCTGACTTACCAGCTCCATTAATTTGGAACTTCTCATAGGCACTCCGGTTTTTTAATAACATCTTTATTTGATGTAATTATTGATGGTGGAGTGTAATTTATGATATAAAATTAGAAAATAAAAATAACAGCAAAATAATTTAATTAAGACAAGGCTGTGTGCTCAGAATGTGAAGGATTCAGAGTAGGAAACTGGATTTTTCCCTTCATCAAAAATATTTTTGCATATCCTAGAAATATTTCTTAAGTTATCAGTTACGTTAAAAAGCAGCTTTAAGGTAGATTGATATCAAGGCATGTCTATCTGTCAGTTCCACTGAATTACAGGTAAGAACATGCATTAATATTATTAATCCATCATTCCATGACTGTTCTACAATAGCTTTTTTTTACTATAACTTGTTTGTGTTCAAAGTTGCACATGGACAGGAAGTGAATTATTTCTCTATCAGTCAAAGGAAGCAGTTGCAGGGTGCTCTTAAGGTTGTTCATAAGATGGGATGTCTTGGGAGTTTTTTTGTGTTCTTGTTTGTCCTGCTGACTGAGAGAAAACAGAGAAGTTTTTGTCAGGATAAGCTTATCTCTGCTTTCTACCTGGGTGTGCCCCAACACTTCTAAACTGCACCACACCATCATAATGCCATGACGCCAGTCAGCCTGCTGAGAGGGAATTGCATTCCTCCTGGTGGTTAGATCCCGGAACATTTGGGCAGGTCCTCTAAGACAGCCCAGGGCAGGTCATGTTGACACACTGCTGATGACAGGCATTGGCCTGTGTACTCTGTGACTGTCAACAGTGTGGGTTATAGACAGCACTGTGGTGAGACTGCCATGGAGAGGAAAGTGCAGCTGCAGTCCCTGGGGTTGCTGAGCTCATTGAGAAGCAGCAGCTGAGGTCCCCTGTGTCAGACAGATTTCCACTGCCTGGAAAGAGAGCATAAGAACATGAGCTCAGATGTAGGTGGTTGCCATCATTCATATGTATCCAAATCCATAAGAGGACTTGTGCAAGTCAAAAGGCAGCGTGTATTCCAGCTTTTGGTCTCATCCCACTAACAATGTAGCCTAACATTTAGCTAAAATGTCTGCAGTTATTCATACAAAATCAGTGTATCTACTCTCTTGCTATAACTTGTGCTGCTGCTTACAAGCAGATTTGGGAAGAAATTCAGTAACTGGAGGAAAGATTGATTTGGTTTTGGTCATAACTTTGGT